GGGCCTCCTCCCCAGGCCTCCGTCCGGTACTGGAGCCCCGAGCCTGCACCCTGAGCCCCTACCCCAGGCCTTCAACTCACGCTGGAGCCCCTAGCTCCCGTCCTGCACCCCAAGTTCCCTCTCTGCGCCCCTGCCCCAGGCTTCCGCCTCGGACCGGAGCCCCCACCCCGCACCCCAAGTTCCCTTTCTATGCCCAAGCCCCTGTCCCAGGCCTCCACCCTGCACCTGAGCCTCCACGGCTCCCCGCTTGTGCCCCTCGAATTCCAAGCCCCTGCCCCAGGCCTCCACCCTGCACACCAGCCTCCACGGCTCCCTGCGTGTGCATCTTGCACTCCAAGCCCTGTCCCAGGCCTCCAGCCTGCACACCAGCCTCCACGGCTCCCTGCGTGTGCATCTTGCACTCCAAGCCCTGTCCCAGGCCTCCAGCCTGCGCTGGAGCCCGGAGTCCCCACCCAGCACTCCTGTCCCAGGGCTCTATCTTGCACCAGACCCCGATCCCCAACCCTGCACCCCAAGATCCTGCCCCAAGCCCCTGTCCCAGGTCTCCATCTCACACTGGAGCCCCGAGTCCCCATCCTGCACCTCAGGGTCCCTCTCTGCGCCCCAAGCCTCCATCTGGCGCTGGAGCCCTGAGGGCCTCCCCAACCAAGCCCGCAGCTAGCCTCTCCAGGTCCCCCCCCCCCCCCCGCAGCCCTGGGGGCAGACGTGTCTGCCTGCCCCTGTCGACTGCAGGCCTCCCCAGCCAGGGCGCCCAGGCTCCAGGTCTGAGGTTTGCAGGCTGTTCCCGGCACGCCCTGGGGCAGTGAGGAAGTCTGTGGTCAGAGTTCACGGTCCCTCAGTGCCTTCCTTTCACCTTGCTGGCTGGAAACATGATATGGCCTTTGTCCCCTGAGTCGGGCTCTTGGGTGACAGATAACAGTTAAACATTGTGTCGCTTTGGTTTTTCCAAATCTGGTGTTTACTACCAAAAGAGGAAGGAGTCGGGCGGGTGCCAGAAGCCACTAGTGCGGTGGAGATTCGAAGGCACTGGAACCTTCCAAGCGCCTGGCTGTGCTGCCTGGCCGCTCTCCCCGCACAGGTGTCCCCGTCTGGGGCCTGTGGCCGCTGTGGCTGACAATGCCTTTCCTGATGTGTGTACAAGTGTGTGTGCTGTATGACCTACACGTGTGTACACCAGTGTGTACTGTGTGTTTGTGAATGTGTATGGTGAAGCCGCGTGTGTGAGACTGTGTTTAAGAGCCAGGCCGCTGTGACGGGAAAGACTCTCAGAGTCTGCAACGCCTGTGCGGTGATTCCTGGGGGACTCGCCTTCCCTAGACACAAAACCCAGGTGGCGTCCAGCCCCACTGCCTTCAGGAATGCGAGGTGGCTGCTCTGCTCATCTCCCAGGCAGGGTGATGTGGCCTCCACCTGGAAAGGGGGTCATCTCAGTGTCGCAGACCTGCAAGCCCAAGCTGTTTCAACAGCCCCCTGGAGCCCAGTGCCCACATGTTGCCCTGAGAGATTGCGCCTGACCCAGGGAAGTGTGCATTTAGGTGACTGCAGACTTTCTTCGGGAAGGAAGTGATTGCAGTCAGGGTCAGTCCTGGGGAGCGCCTCTTTGCGATGTCTTCAAGCTCCTTAAGGGTAAGACTCGGAGGACTTTGCTTTTATGAGCAGCTGAGGAAACTGCCAGGTTCTCTGTGTTTTGAGCTGCCTTTCAACCCTAGCTTCGGGCCTTTTCGCTTTCATGGCTTCCTTTCCAGAGCGGCTGTGGTATGTCCATGGGCTTTTTATTGCCGTCTTAGCTTTTTTGGTGACATGTACCTCCACGGCTGTGGCTTCTTTTGTTAATGAGTTCCCTCCTGGATCCCATGCTGTGTGTTGGATGGAGGGTCCCAGGAAACACAGTCGTGTGTTGCAGCTGTGCGGGCTGTCAGAGGCTGGCCCACTGTTGCTTGCTCATGGACCCTCAGTGCTGATGGCCACTCTCATGTGCCGCCAGCCTTCTGCTAAAATTCCATGCACTAACATTCTCAGGGCTGTGGCCACAGTTATACCAGCTCTTTAAGGGGACTCCTGTGTGTGTGCAGATTTATCACTTTATGCCAAAGGTAGGGACTATTATTTTGATGAGGCAGTGGACTAAATCCAGAACAAGAGAGCCTTTCTGTCAAGCAGAAACCTCCTTTTGAGATAGAGGGGCTAATCTATTCCTCCCGGCACTCTCCCCTCCCCCCCATAGGCCTTAGGCACTGAATTCACCAACTTGTGACCTTGGTGTCCGACATTTCCCTGTGACCATAGAAAGTGATGTTACCACCTCCCAGGCTTGTTCAAGGCTTGGAATGCACAGAGCTGAGCCCCGGCAGGTGTGCGCTTGACTGCGCGCTGCTCCGTGGTCTCTCCGGCTGCTATATACTTCATTTTAATGGAGGTGTGCTGACTTATAGCAAGGCATGCTTTATAGCACGAATTACGTCCTGGCCTATAGGTGTTCATGAGTTCTCAGATGGTTTTTGGATAGTTACTTAGTGCTGACAATTTTTGTTTTCATCTTTGTAAAATTGAATAATTCGATCCCTTTTATGACCCTTAATAATGAGGACTATTTTAAGGAGTAATCTTGGCGTCTTCCTAGCTCAATGCAACTGTGGTTTCTGGGTTTCCCTGCATCGCATCTTCGTGTGATGTTCTGTTCCTTTGCTGCTATAAAGCCAAGACCTGACACTGATAAGCCCTTCCATGCTCAGAGCAGGCCACGCAGGCCAAGTCTCACATCTCAGTAGTTGGCTTTCTCATTTTCCCTCTGTCTAACATCTGGTGTCTTCTTGAGAAAGCGGCTGTTTGCATTTCTTTTGTGAGGTGTTGTGTTTTGTTTTGTACTCTTTGAGCTTAGTTTTTTTCTTTTGGAGATAAAGATATTGACTGCTTTTAAAATTCTTTGTCCTATTTACAAGTTTATTTCTTATAACTGCATTTTCTGAAATGTTTGTTATTTGCAATTGCTTCTCCATACCATTATGGTGACTTATTTTGAGATTCTTATTGTTCTGAAAACTTCTAGAAGTTTAAAAGTGTGGGGAGTATAAGGTATATGTGTCTGTACTTTACTTTCAGAAAGAAAAATAGTCACGATAGTCAAACAGGGTAGACTGGAGTGGTCACTCTGCTTGGTAACTGATAAGTGCCATTGGCTTGTCCCTTAAAACAACAGGCCTTTCAGGGTGCTGACCATCCAGGACTGTGGGGTTTGGACTTACCTGTCTTTTTATTTTAAGTGTAAAGCCATAATTTTGGAAGCGGTTTAGAACAAATCCTCTGCAGTGTTCTCTTTGTGTCCATGACAGGATGCTGTGGAGTATGCATCTGCATGTCCTTTTCATGCCTCACAGTTTTCTTGAGATGCAGCGCTCATGCTGTGCGAGTCACCCTCTTAAAGTACACAAGTTGTGCAGCTGCTAGCATTGTCTAATTTTGGAACATTGTCATCACTCCAGAAGGCAGTCTGGTACCTGTTAGCGGCCACTCCCTATCCTTCCTTCGCCCCACCCCTTGACAACCAGAACCCACTTTCTGCCTCTGTGGATGTCTTTCCTGGATTTCCAGTGTGAGTGACTTACCCGGCTCGTGACCTTTTGCATCAGGGCTCATCCATTCTGTGACCTGTGTCCAACCTTCAGCCCTGATTGTGGCTGGGTGATGTTCTGTGGGGTGGGCAGACTACATTTTGCTCCTCTGTTTTCCAGTGGCTGGATGTTTGGGCTGTCTCCTGTGCTTATCTTAAGACTTTTTCTTTTGTGGTTAACAGACTGTCTGTCTCAGCGCCCGGATGCTCTCCCTGGCCCTTCGCATGTTGTCTTTGGAATGCTGTCAGCACGTGCCAACACATGGCTGTCCCGAGGGGCCTCACTCTCCTGACCAGGTTCCACCCGGCGATCTGCTGGGCTGGCACACACGGAGCTGTGCAGACATGCCCCTGCCTGCCCCAGGAGCTGCAGCTGAAGGGGGCAGGGAGCACGTTGCTGTGGACACAGGCTCACGGCCGGTGGGTGTGCTTGTGGAGTGGTTCCTGCTGCAGGACTCGGGAAGCAGGGCCTGGAGGGGAACTGGGGGACACCTCAGCTCCCACTGTGAGCCACAGGTAGCCTGTGTGCTTCCTACCCTTTCTCGCTTCCTCGACCTGGTTATGTATGGGTAGCGAAAGAACTGCTTCATGGGGCGGATCGTCCTCTAAAGGGTGTGCTCAATGGTGGTTTTGAAGGTGCTTGGTGCAGGGCTGTGTTGGAGTGGTGGTCTTCCTTTGGGTGTTTTGGGTTTTTTGGGGCGAGGCATGGTCTCAAACTCCTGACTCCAAGGAGTCCTCCTGCCTCGGCCTCCCAGAACCTCCAGTGCCCGGCCCTGTTGGGTATATGTCCTGCGGGACAGCCATGGCACCGGCCACTGTGGTCTCTCTCGTGAGTGCCGTAGGATAAGCACTGTAGAAATGTCCGATGTATGCAGATATGCAAGTAAGCCTGCTGATCCTCTGTCGCCCGAGGCAAGCAGCAGCTTACACATCCTTGCCTTGTGGAAACTGTTGAAAATCATTGCAGTTCAAAGGTGAAGTGTTGAGTAGTGTGTCCTGTGGTCCTCATGTGAGGTATCAATGATTTCTTCTGGTTTCTCTTTTAACCCTAAACTCTTTGCCATTGCAACTGAGAGAAATCCAGCATCCTGCAAGAGCAGATTGTGACGGGAACGGCTGGTGGTTAAAGGAATAGCTGTGACCTAAAGGCAGTGTTTTGTCTCCAGCTTGAACACTTGTTCTGGGCAGCTGGGAACTGCCCAGTTTATGAACTTCAGTCTGTGCGCTGAATCTGGCTGTCTTTGCATACGTTGCTTTGTTTATTACACGACAGGAGATAATATCCTAACACATACTGGCTTTTCTTCCTTGGCCAGCTTGTGTGGGTCTGAAAGACTGTCCTGTTTTTATAGTGAAGGACAGTACCCGATACAGGAGTGAGCTGTAGTCGTGTGCTGCCCGACAGTGGGACACATTCTGAGACTGGCTTTGCTAGGCAGTCTTGTCACTGTGTGACGGTCCCAGAGTACACTCGCACCTAGCTGGGCAGCCTGCTACACACCTGGGCCGTGTGGTGTGGCTGTTGCTCTTGGCTTGCATGTTTGTCCAGCATGTGGCTGTGCTGAACACCCTTGGCTGCTATAACACAATGGTAAGGATTTGTGTGTCTGAACATATCTAACCCAGAAAAAGGACAGTAAGAATAAGAGTAAAGCAGTCTTAGAGGACCACCATGGTGCGTGTGGTCTGCGGTCTGCCACTGACAGACATGCTACGTGGTGCATGAGGGTACTTGAGTGGTACTTGGTGGTGGTGTATTCACTGACAATGAAAGCCTAGTCATGTCTTTGCAGAGTTGCAGTGGTCCTGCCAGCTGCTGTCTAATGACTTGGCTATGTGGCGCTTTAATTCCTTGCCTTTGACCTCACATTAAATTAAGGCCATTTGCTTCCACCCAAGCTGATTTGTTTTTGCCTTCTTCAGCTCAACAGGCATGTGAGTTCCCGCCTGATGCTTGGAAGCTGGAGAGTTTGCATCCTATTTCGGTGTGATGAGTAGCATGATGGCATCATTTGTACAAGTTAGAAAACAGTTGATATGTATCAACATTTGTCTTGTTGTGGCAGGCTTTGAACTCATTGTTTACTTAGGCTTTATTATTCTTCATTTACCTCCACTTTGGATTGAGGACATTTTGGGGTTAATGTGTATTTTTCCAACAGCTTTACATATACTCAGAGTCCAACTAGTAGACAGGTAGAAGGTACTCATGCTGGTGCATTTTTGTTCATTGAACTGATGACTGCTAACCTCCTTAGAGACTGTGAATTGATCAAAATACATTTTTTTGTTTGTTTTTGTTTTTGAGTTGGGGTCTTGCTCTGTCGCCTAGGCTGGAGTGCAGTGGCACAATCACGGTTCACCGCAGCCTTGTCTTCTTGGGTTCAGGTGTTCCTTCCATCTCAGCCTTCCAGTTAGCTAGGACTACAGGCATATACCACACTAGGCTAATTGAAAAAAAAAATTTTTTTTGTATTGTAGAGATGGTATCTCAGTGTATTGCCTTGGCTGTTCAAAATAAGTTTCTGTTATGCCTAGGAAAAATAATTTATGCTTGAGTATCCTTCACTCTCCACCTCCCTTAGAGTGATTAGATTTTAGAAAAAAATCCCTTTTTTGGAGAAACTCCTCGTTGGTGGAACAAGTTATCTCATTAGTTTCTAAGTCAGAAATGTTGCTGCAAGTTCACTAATTAGGTTACATTATGTTTCTGATTGTGGACTTTAGCCTTGACACATGCAGTTTAGAAATTAGTTTCAACAAGGTAGCTTTTTCTCTAGTCTGTAGATGTTTTGATTGTGGAGAGCCTTGATACACTGTAGAAACATTTCCTATCAAAAGTAAAAAGATAATCAAGACTGATAAGCTAGGTTAATTCTCAGCAGTTTGTTTTGTTTTGCGTTTAAAGGCCTGACGTTATGTAAAGTGAAGAGCAGACATAGGGAAGGTAGAGTATCTTGCAAATCCTTGCTGTGCTAACAGCAACATGCAGTTGGGATCAGGGCATTGCAAGGTAGGCCTGGACTTCGGAGGTAGGACACGAAGGCCTGGCCAGACCTGGCTTTTGGCTCTCCCTCGAGTGCGGCACTGTGGACCTGGGCCACGCTTTTCCTCCTAAGCTTGCCTGGGAGGGTGGGTGTTTTACAGGCTCATGGGAAAATAGCCCTTGAATTGTCTCATCCAGACCCGCACCATCCTTAATTCTCTGCTGTTTCCTTTCTGCCTAAGGCCAGTCCCTCACCTCTGTTTTGGTCTTCTTTCTGTTTCCTCAGGGACATTGTCGGTCACTTGTCTGAACTCTGCCGTTTCCCATCTCTCTCCTCCTCCTCCTCCTCCTCACCAATCTTTGACCTCCAGTGTTTTCCCTCTTGGCCCCTAACATGTTAGTGGTTCTCTGATTTGTCTTTTAAACAGAACAAAACTCTTCCTTTCACATTGTCCACCCTCGCAGCCCCTCTTCCCTTGGTCTCTTCCTGACCGAGTCTTCCCCTGACCAGCCAACCCGTAAGCCTTCCCAGTTGCTCGCCCATGTTAGAAGGTTGAGTGTAGCTTACAGACAGGCTTGTGCCTGTATAAATCCAGACTGATGCACTCTTTTAAGCATACAGGCTGTTCTTAATGCCCCTATGTGTCCAGCATAGCCAGACCCCTAGAGTCAGTCCTGCTGTCTCTAGTCCCCACCCCCGTGACTCCTCAGCCTCCTGTGACCTGCCTTCTGTCTCGACCTCTTTGATGAAACAGTTTTAATCAAAGAGAATTCAGTAATCGTTTAAGTTCAGAGAAGATTTAAATAGATAATCTAGTCTGAGGTAAAAACTGGAGAAAGGTGCAGAAGGAAATGGGCTGAAGAGTCCCTTTCTCCCAGGGACAGTCAGAGAAGGGCCCTGGGACCCTGTGGGTCACTGGGGGCTTGGTAACTTTCACTTCACATTTGAAAAACAAGTTTCTTTCCCTCTTCCTAGCCATTCAGTTCCCCTCTTTGCAGATAACACAGAACCTTGTAGAGCCTTCCAGAGAGACTTCTGTATTTGCAAGTCGATACCTGGTGTCCTGCTCTGTCCCTGTCTTCTCTCGGCAGTCTTTCTTGATGCGGCTTCAGTGTCCATCCGTACAGAGCCTTCTCGTGGTACCTATGGCTGCCAGCATGCATGTGTTATGTAATCAGTCTTACTGATGGACATTTGATTCCCATCTTCTTATTACACACAATACAGTGTTATTTGCATATTATACACGTGTCCCTTACGTGCTACAGATGGCAGCTGTGACCTTTCGCCCTCGGGTAAGTATGTCTGCAGGATAGGAATCTGGAAGTGGAATGGGTCAACAGTCTGTGCCTTGTGATGTCGCTCCCTGTTGCCACACCCTGCCTTCTGCAGTTCCCACACCTGTAACAGGCTGGCAAATTGGCTGACTTGGGGACCATGGTGGGTGGGTCGGGCAAACACAGACCGCAGTTGCGTGTCATCGTGTCTCAAAGAAGTGAGGGTGTATTTTCCCGAGTGAACCACTTCGTTAATTTTTGGCAAGTTTTTCATCTCCTTTGCTCATCTCTGTTGGCTGTTAGTCTTTTCTTTAGTTTTTAGAAGCTCTTTAAGTTTCAAGGAAATTGTCTCCAGTGGGAGTTACAAGTATTTGCTTCCTGTTTTTTCAATCTTGTCTTCTGGCTTTGCCATGCAGTGTGTTTTTTAGAGTGTTGTGTTTATCAGTCCTTTTTTGGATGGCTTCTGGGTTTTGTGTCGTAATTAGAAAGGCACTATACGGTCTGTGTGTTGTGTATGAGACATACACGTGCACACATTAAGCATGTGCACACATAGTAAGTACATCGTGCACCACTAGGACATCCTCCTGTGGTATCTTCTGGAAAGGAGCTTGTGTGGTTTTCTCTTTTTACATCAAGCTGGTCCATCTGGAATTGATTTGATATAACGTACAAAGCTTGTTTTGTATCTTCCAGATGACAGCCCAGTTGTCCCCATGCCATCTGTTGAACAACCTCCTCTTCCCCAGATCTGAGTGCCTGTGTCGTGTACTCATCTGTTTGGGTTCCTCTGGACCCTCTGTCTGTGTCCGTGACATCTTCATCTGTGTGGCCTCAGAGGGGCCAGGTTTGTTGCCTACTCCTCTGTTTTTGTCTCACCTTTCATGCATTCTGTGGGTTTCCTATACTGTGGAATCTCCAGGGAGAGGGCTTTTTTGTTTTTTGTTAGAAACAAATATGGCTGTGTGACGCTCACCCTGATAAGTGGCTTCTGTACTGACTGGGAGCCACCACCTCCCTGAAGTCCTCTGGCACTGCTGAACCTCTAGATAGTGTTCTCCGGTCCTCGTCTGCTTCCCTATACTTCTGGTGATGTTATTCTTCAGACTTCTCTCCCTTGTCCTCTTCCTTATTGCTTTCTAATTTGTCAGCTATGGTTTCGCCAGTCTCACTGATTAGTCCAGAGTGCTGTATGCCTAACAGACCCCCAGCTCCCAGGGAAGTTCCGGGAGCTCAGTGTGTTCAGAGGCACACTTCCCAGGCTGGGCATGGTGGCTCACGCCTGGCATCCCAGCACTTTGGGAAGCTGAGGCGAGAGGATTGCCTGAGTCCAGGGGTTCAGCACCAGCCTGGGTAACTTGGCAAGACCTCGTCTCTACAATAAATCAAAAAAAATTAGGTGGGCATAGTGGCCCATGCCTGTAGTTCCAGCTATTTGGAAGACTGGAGTGGAAGGGTCGTCTGAGCCCAGCAGGTCAAGGCTGTGGTGGTCGTGAGCATGCCACTGCAGTCCTACCTGGGCCACAGAGCGAGACTCTGATTCAAAAAAAAAAGAGGCACGTTTCCTCACCAGCCATGGTTCCAGTGTGTCCCCAGATCCATGTGTTGGGAACTCAGTCCCAGTGCAGCAGTGCAGGGAGGTGGACCTGATGCAAGATGACCGGGTCATGAGGGCTCTGCCTTGACGAGTGGGCCAGAGTCACTGTTGCCCAGGATGAGCTTATTACAACAGTCAGCGGGGCCCCCTCACGCACTGCTTTTGCACTCTCTTCCTTCCTTCCACCTTCCTTGTGGGACGTCTGGCACAGAGGCCCTCAGCAGATGCCGGCCCTCAATGTAAGAAATGCATATCTTTTCTTGTAAATTACCCCGTCTGTGGCTTTCTGTTATAGTCACACAGAACGAACTTAGATACAATCTCTGACCTGCTGTGGCCTTTCTCCCAGCCCCCTTCCATCCAGAGGCCCATGCCTGTCATACAGAAGGCGGCCTCGAAATCCTGCTGGCTTGCTATCTTTAGTCCTAACTGTCTTTACAGATGTATTCCTCAGGGACACTGTCACAGCCTGGCTCAGTGTTCCTCAGGGTCTGTTCCCTGGCCTCTTCCCCACCCCCTTCCTGTGTCTGTCTCTGTCTCTGTCTCTGTCTCTGTCTCTCTCTCTCTCTCCCTCCCT